CTTGGGCAATGCTTTTATTAACACTCTTGACTGAGGCCCTTTTAACTGGTGATGCCAGAGACCAAATGTGGGACCTGCTCTACATGCAAAGTCTGCTTTGCTTCAGAGTCTGTTCTGCTTCTGGACAGTGGTCTCCCCACATAACAAGAACGGCCTTCTTCCAGTGACAAAATGCTCAGGGTTGGTGTTGGGAACACGTAATTCCCCAGCAAAGGATGCTCTTGGTTGCAGTGGAGGCTGGTGACTGCAATCTCAGTGGGTCTGTGCAGTCACTCCGAGTTGTACAGCTCCTTTAATGGTTAGACTAAAACTAGAGTGGAGACACTGCCCCACTGAAGGGCAGGGGCTTGTAAGGCTTTTCCATAGCAATAAAGCAACACAACAGAAAGTATACTGGAAAAACTCTTTAAGAGTGATGGAGTAGAAACAGATTTCTGCCTTCAGTGAAGAAGATATAGGTTCAACTCCATGGTTCAATTCACGGAGTGATCTTAGGTTAATTGTCCTTCTCAACCTGCCTCACCTCACCATTATTGGAAGGATAAAATACTGTAATTACTTATTATTTCTATAATAGCATATTTTGTGTATTTTCTTTCCAGCAGTATGAAGAACAGTACCTCGATCTTCAGAGCTTTTGCACTTCAACTCCAGGAAGCCTTTGCCAGCATGATCAAGGGCCAGGAATCCTGGCAGTTGAAGTCTAAAACATCTGAAGGAATGTTTTAGACTTCAAGATACTCCTGAAGATACTCCTTCTGTCCAGCAGGGCTTTACAGAACACAAAAAGTTCAGTCCTTGCCCCTATGGACTTCTAGTCTAAAATATATACTGCTTTGAGCATCTTCATGTAAGGGCAGGGTGCATGCATAATTAATAAAATCAGGATACAACCCAACACATTTTTAGACAGAAAAATGTTCTCCAAGTCCCAGAATTCCCCAGCCAACAGTTATAAGACCTTTTTCTTTCTAAACATGCATAGGATGGCACCTTAAGAGAGTAATACTCCCTGATGAGATTTTCTTTCCAAACAATTGAATCTCATTCCGCTAACTGTGATGGAATTAACACTGAGGTGAATTTAATGAGGTATGTGTTGTTTTTGTTGTGGTGGTGGTGGTAGTGATACTGCTGCTGTTGTTTTTTAAGAGGCTTGTTTCAGTCCTTCAGTTCAGTTCAGCCCAGACTCTGGATGCAACCATGAAATGAATATTTATCATTGTAGCCTTCTCTGTATGAATGTTTCAATTCAAAGCTGGAGGCAGACAGTGATGCAAACAGCTCAGTGATATTTGTGAGCCAAGCAATTACAGGTAAGGAGAAACCACTTCAAATACCCCACTTATACATATACAAAAAGAAAAGGCTAAGGTGAAAGAGTTCAAATCTGCAAGAATTTCAACATTTGCTTAGTTCTGAAGTGCCTTTCCTTCTACGCTTCTTTGCTCCTTCTCTTTTCCAGTTTTCCTCTCCACTTTCAAATGTCTCCTTATATCCTTCTAGAATATGGCTTCCTTTCCTAGGCTCCCTGTTTTTTCTCTCCTAGGAATCCTGTCTGCTCTGCTCCTTCTGAAAGGTAAGAACAGTTCAGCCAATGGTAGCCAGAGATTCTTAGGGTGAACCAGTGGCTCTTCCTTCTGCAGCTTAAGCTTCAACATTGCCACAATACTGCATCACACATTGCTCTATGGATCATAATAATTTCTTCCTGCCACAATTTCCAGTCTACGATTTTGCAAAAGAACCAAATCTGCATTTTTGTTCAATGGAGATGAAAAGGAACCAGCAGCAGGGAGCCACAATTTGACCTATGGTTTACACGCATTCATTCATTTGAAAGACTGACTGAATGAATTTTTTCAAAGCTATGAGTATTAAACTGATTCTTCAAATTCTAAGCATGCAAAAACCCAGGGCTTGATTCTCTCCGAAGACTTGGTTTGCATTTGTTGCACTGAAGCAGATATTGGATTATTGGAATCACACAGCACAGATCCTCTTATCTTATGCTATGATTAGATTTTCAGAAGAGTGTGTACCTTTGTGAGGAAATGATCTGTCAGCCATTCAGATGGTCATGACAGTCAGGGAAGTCTGAGATTTCACAAGAGGATGCATTTATTACAAATCTAATCCAGCTGTTTCCAGATTTCTGGCTAACAAAGTGTCAAGGCCAGGCCAGGCCAAGCCAAAGAGTAACATGCGTGCCTGTCTGTGTGTGTGTATGTATCGCAGTGTAAGATCTCTTAGGTTAGCTCAGCGCAGCAGGCAGAGACAGTAATGAAGCAAGTCAAAGATAACATTGATCAGAAGTGGCCTTCTTTATTTTATCTCTTCCTATGCCTGGTTTGCTTTTTGATGAGATCCTAAAGCAGTCTTTGATTGCTTTAACTTGATTACTACATGCACATGTGTACTGGCGTTTCTTTCATCCTTGCCTCTCCCGCAGAAGTGCCTATTTCATTCTTCCTCAGCACACTGGTTGCCCGGTCACTGGTATCCACAACAGAATGAGATGGACTGTATTTCTTTTTACATTAGAATAAATTATGTCTAAACTGGCAAGCGCACATTTTTATGCAAGTCAGTGTCTCTCGAAGATTCCACAAAGTGGTGTAGCAATCCAACACATTTGGAGGGTATCAGTTTGGGGAAGGCTGAAAGAGAGGATGTATCCAGCTAACAGATTGCCCTCTTCAAACAGAGGACTGTCTATTGTACGTGCAGCCGCCCAGAATGGGTGGTAGGAATGCTTAAGTTGCATTATTAGAAACATAGAAACAAAGCAAGTCACTTGGCCATCTAGTCTGACCCCCGGTTCCAGCGGCTCCACTCGTGTAATCCCCAACATGTGGTTGTCCAATCTTTCCTTGAACACCCTCACTGATGGGGCCTCAACCACCTAACATGATGACAACCCATCATGAACTGAACATCCCCTACAACAATCCATGGGTTGTCAGGGTGGTTTGTTATTAAAAAATAAAATAAACCACTTTGCAGGAAACAGTCTGGACTCTAATTACCTGTATTAGTTACACTAGTTACCTGTGATGGCTTGTTGTGTCATGCAAACCCATTTAATTCTTTTTTGCAATATAAGTGTTTCTGTGGAAATTGTACAACTTGTACAAAAAATACAAACTGACTAATCAATAATCTGGGATAAATCTTCCAGGTGATTTTTACAGTGACTGCATTTAGAAAACATAGTATTTCACATTCAAGGGTTAAGGACAGGTTAAGTGTGGATAACTGTGTTGTCCTGACCCAGCCACATTAACAAACCATTTTTTAAAAAACCACAACCCACAATTCACAACCCAGAGCAAACAATGGGTTATCTTTATGGGTAGTTTGTTAACAAACCATGGTTTGCTCTGCTCATTGCAACACATTGCAACAAATCTGTTCATTGCAACACATTAAAGCCATGCCTGCCCTGAAAGGAGGAAAGCATTCTTTTTGTCCCCAAGGGAGACATGCAGTAACAAATGATGGGTCTCCTTATGTGCTTTCCCCTTTTAGGCTGTACTCCCACAAGTCTTACAGCCAGCTGTTCAGCAGGCATGAACTTACCCAATATAGTAATGAGGTGGGGTAACAGTAAGAAGAGAATTTGAAGGGGCAGGGGAAGCATGGGTACCCATGTGGCTGCTCACAGGTGCCCTAGAGGAATTGGAAAAACCTGCCAACAAGCAGGTGTCCAACATAACTCTACACCTGTGTTGCCAAACTCAGCCAATCAACAGCTAGAGCAAACCCGGGTGGACCCCAGACCTGAGTCAAAAGGAGCCTGAGACGAGACTTAGAGCCAAAACCAGCTTTATTCTAGTGCACTATAGAATAAAGGGAGACAAAAGGGGACATTCAGCCCAAAGCAGTGTCTCAAAAGTTACACCCCAGTACATGCGTTTTATACCCTAGGTAACCAATTAGGACACCTAATACACTTCTAATGCATCAATACATCAATGTAGCCACCCCCACCCCCCACTGCTGCTAGCTTCAAAGAGTCTTTTCTTCTGTCAAGGACTGGGCATTTCCCATGTCTAGTTCTTATCTACTCGAGATTCACACAGGCTTGCCATGTTCTTAGTCCCTGAACATTTGCAACTTTCATGGTGGCTAGAACCAGTTTCCACTGTCCCTTTGATTACTATATTCGAGGTCAGGCTAGTGTGTTAGCTGTGGGTTACACAAAGTTCATTTTGTTCTTATCTGCCCTCCCTTCTGGGACAATATAACTGTGGCATTTTTACTATGTGGCCTTCCTCTGGCCAATTACTTTTGGGGTGTTTTGGGGTGCTGCAATTGGCAACACCTGCATCTTTTGGAAGCATGCTGGTAAATACAATATAGGAAACTGATCTTATGACATCACCAGAGTAACATTTAATAGCAGACTTTGTCCAACTGTCAAAATAAATACATAGTGCATATATTACAATATGGATGTACGATATTTATATAAATTCTTACCTACATGGCACTGAACTTATTTGTATCTGGGAGGAGTCAGGAGATTCCTGCATCCGTACTGGCCTTCTTTGGGGAAGAACATAAAGTTCTGGTCTAGCTTCTGAATATTTCTGTATTCATTATTGCATCTACATCTCACCTTTCTTCCCCTAAGACAGCTTTTATGTTCCTGCTGCCCTCCATTCTATTCTCACAGCAACTACCCGTAGGGTAGCTTAGGCTGAAGGGCAGCGGCTGGACCAAAGTCACCCATGAGCTCCATAGACGAGGAGGGCCCTGAAACCTACTCTCTGGAGGTCCAGTCCAACACTGTATCCACTACACCTCTCACCCTCTCAGGCCACTTGATGGTTTTCGGCTTCGAAAAAATCAGGCCAACAGCCCACCTAGGCCCCAAAGGGAAGGGCGTTACCAGGGCAACGGGCAAGCGTCGCTCGAGAGCTCGACACTCAGCCCCTGCCGCTCCGTAGCTCGGCAACTCGGCTCCTTGGGCTGCGCATGCTCGCAGCACATGCGCGTTCCCCTTTTCCGTTCCGGCCCTGCCTCGGCTATCTTGGCCGCGTTGAGCAAGATGGTGAAGCTGACGGCGGAGCTCATCGAGCAGGCGGCGCAGTACACCAACGCCGTGCGGGACCGGGAGCTGGACCTGCGCGGTGAGGATCCGGAGGAGGCCGCCGAAGGTCGTGCTGTCTCGCCTCACTAGGCCGGAGGCGGGCAGGCGAAGCCGAGAGGCTCCCTCTGAGGCGGTGACCTGTGAGGGTCGCGCGGGTTTAGTAGGCCTAAGCGGGGGGGTGGAAGGAATATTTCCTCTGGGCATGAAGAACGCGACGAGGAATCCGTCGCTCGTATTGGGGTGAGAGCGCGTGCGAGTGGAGTTTAGGAGATCTTCGTCCTGGGTAGGGGCTGTCCCTTCCCCTCCCTATTGAAACATGGAGAGCGGGCAGACAGAAGCAAGCTTCGCGGTTCTGGTGCTTAAAAAAAAAAGTCAGTTTTATTTTTATTAACAGAATGAAACACGTAACATGGTTCATCTCCCGTACTAGCGTGGGATAACGTTAAGTTCATGTGTTCTTCTTTACAATATTTTAACTTACTTTCTTATTTCATTTTTTGTACCATATTCAGCCCAATAAATCTTATTTGGTTGATTCATAAAGCCTATACAATGCTTTCCCAAAGAGTGTCTCCACAGGCAATATTTCCATTTAATGTGTTTGTTTCATTCTTATACTGTCCAGTAGTCTAGGCTCTCTGGGTGGTTAACAAAGTAAAGGGGGGAAACTAAAACACACAGTATAAATTCAAGTTCAAAATGAATAGAGCCACAATAGAAGTTGAATCAGCATGGAAGTAAAGCAGCAGTACAGAGTAAACTGCGTATTTAAAAAATGAAGTTAAAATGAAGTTTTATTGTGCGTAATTTTTCTGTAAGGGCTATTGTCCAAACTCTGATTCTTCGTCAGGATTACTGAAGCTGTTTAGGCAGTTTACAACAGTTCATAAAAACAGTACAATAAAATACCATAGCATCTTTCCAAAGTGCCAAACTTGTAAAAGCAAAACTAAACACAGCCAAAACAACATAAACAACATCAGATGAAGAGAATTCCTATAAAACACCTGGTATAGATAATCTCCTTAAACCCTTGAATATTGATACTTACCTCTAATAGATTCAACATAAAGGATTATTTAACTTGGCACCAAAAAGATGACAAGGTTGGTGCCCATTAGGCCTCAGTGGGGAGATAATTCCAAAGATGGGGGGGGCATAGTTGAGAAAGCCCTCTGCCTAGTTGCAGCCCTTCATGCCTCTCTCAGAGTTGGCATTTGGAGGAACACCACCAACATCAAGAGTAGCATCCAGGTAGATTGTGGTCCCAAGCCATATAAGGCTTTAAAAGTTAAAGCCAACACCTTGATTTGGACTCAGAATAATACAAGCAGGCAATGCAAGTGCACAAGAGCTGACCTTAAACATGCATACCTATTGCTCCTTTTGCTCTGGCAACCACATTTCACTGAAACCAATCTTGCCCTACCCAGGTAGGGGCATAGCTGGACCACCAGCTAAAGCTGGTATAAGTCACTCCATGCCACTGAGGCCATCTGAGCCTTAAATGACAAAGATGTTTCAAGCAGGACTCCTGAGCTTTGAACCTGCCCTTACTCCCAACTCAGACCTTGGAGTATCAACAGGGTCACACTGCCTTCTCTGCTGGCATAGGTCATCATACAGGGCAACTAAAGGTCTTTCTGTGTCCAAGGGCCCATTTAATTGAGGATCCTCTTTCCAAGAATACCAGCCAGATGGTCTTCAAGACATACAATTGGATTTTTTAATTTAAATTGTATTTTTTTAAAAAAATGCTTTTTGAGGAAAAAATCTATCTAAGGATAATTTTCTGTTTAAGATACATTATAGTCCAAAGGTTATTCATCCTGAAATGAGTAGTTTTTAATTATGTAGCATGAGGTGTATATTCATGCAATGTTTGTTCCCCCCACCAGTAAATTAATTCCATTAATCCATTCACAGTGTAATGCTCTTCCAGAGGTTTCTGTAAGATTATTGGGCAAATTTTCTGTCTAGAGATATTATCACAGAGGCATGGTTTACAGTTCTCAGAACTGTGAATTTGTGTCTGCAGAAATCACATGTCTCTTCTTCACATCAAAAATATTATAAAATAAACATGAAAAGTTGAGAAAAGGACCTTAACCCCATCGTCCCTTTGCAAAATCAACCAACCCTAAGTACTAAGTTTCAAAAAATTCAATGAATAGAAAATGGTTTTTGGAATAGATCTGCCCTAGAAGCTAAGTGTGAGGAGGGAGAGGCAAACAGTAAAAATGAAAGTGAAACCTTTTGAGCAGAATATTCCACAAGTCTTTAGATCTTTTTGCGTATAGCTGGAAGTTTGTCATAGTATTCTTTCCTTGGAGGAGAAAACCTATAATGATAGCAGGCTATAAAAGAGGCCCAGTTTGGGAATGTTTTAATGAGTTTCTTTGCCTGTGGTTCAGACTGGCATGCACGTAGAAAACCCTGATTTAAACCTAATCTTACTAGTGATTTAAATCAGTGATTTTCAGTCAGATTGGTGCTGGTCTGCAAAAGATTTCCTGCCAGTCCACGAAAAAGCTCTGAGGAGGAGCTGCAGAGGGGTGGCATATAAGAGCAACAGCTCGAGCTTAGCTGCACGAGGGAAACTGATCTGTGCCAGCTTTTTCCCTCCTCCTCCTATGATCAGCTCAGAGAATACTGCCGGCACTGCTGCTGCCCCCTCCAAGCTGCCTGGTTCTGGTCTTGTGCCACCTGACAAGGTGAGCGACACAGCCATCTTCCAGGCATTCCTTGCTCCTTGTCAGGTGGTGCAAGACCAGAGCCAGGCAGCTTGGGGCCACTTGCATGACATGCTGAGGGAGTGGAAGTGGCAGCAGCAGCAGCATTCTCACAGCTGCATATCAGGAAGCAACTGCACTCGGCCTGCTCTTCCCACTCACTCAGTGCTTCCCAGGGGAACTGAGCTTATTGAAGCAGGAGGTGGGAAGGAGCTCTGATGTCACTCTGACGTCCAAACATAAAATGCAATTATTGTTACAGTTTTGGATATCACTGGAAAAAGAATATCTGTCTCTTAAGTTAGTTAGTAGTTAGTTAGTTAGTTAGTTAGTTAGTTAGTTAGTTAGTTAGGAAGCTTCTATGCCGCCCCATTCGCCGAAGCCTCGGGGCGGCTCACAACAATAAATAATAACAATATAAAGACAATATAAAACAATATAATTTGAGACGACCTGGCCAAAGATGTAAAATAAATAAATAATATTAGCAATTAAAATGACGTTTAAATAAAAAGGTCTTCACCTGGCGCCGAAAAACAAATAACGATGGTGCCAGGCGGACCTCTCTGGGGAGCGCATTTCATGGGGGGGGTGCCACCGCAGAGAAAGCCCTCCTCCGAGTACTTACCCTCCTAATATCCTTCATGGAGGGTTCCCGGAGAAGGGCCTCTCCAGCTGATCTCAAGGGGCGGGCGGGCATATATGGACGTAAGCACTCCTTCAGGTAGGGTTACAGAGCTATTAAATTGTTACTCCTATTTTCTACCACATATTTGTGTAAAAGAGTTTTTCAGTCTTGTCACTGATAACAGAGAAATAGAATGGATGTCAGTGCAGCACTTCATCTCTTGGAATCAACACTGCAGCCATGACTATCAAGTATTCTTTTCAGAAGCAACAGCAGATTTCTCAATTGCCTTATTTGAATTAAACATTGTTCTCTAAAAAATTCAGTTATATTTGATTACATTTAATTTCAATATGTTATTCTTTTATTGGCATTTTTTACTGCTTGGTTTCTGGTTATTTTAGAGAAGGTTGAAAAGTGTCATGTTGTGAATGTTGTCGTGTTGTCTAGGTGAGAATGATAAGACAAAATCGGGATAGCTAACAAGCCCTACAAGCCATAGACTTTTGGAATGCTTTATAAAGGAAGCAGCTGGGCTTATAAGCCACCCCAAATAACCCATAGTGAATTTGTGCAACACATTACTTCTTCTGTTCTGAACTTGCTGTCAGCCAATTTGACAGTAGTTCCTAGTTGATTATTTATTCTCTCTTAATCCTCTCAGACCTATTCATAGGGTTCTTGCAAGAATATGATGTCAAATACTATCTAATGCATAATCAAGGTACACAATTCTGCTTTCCTATATTTGTTGCAACTGATGTTTTTCTCTTTTTTTGTTTCTTGCTGGTTCATCAGGGTATAAGATCCCTGTGATTGAAAACTTGGGTGCTACCCTGGACCAGTTTGATGCTATTGATTTCTCTGACAATGAAATTCGGAAGTTAGATGGGTTTCCGCTGCTGAAAAGATTAAAAACATTGTTGGTGAATAACAACAGGTTAAGGTGGGTATGTTTCCAAATATACTTTTTTGAGGTCACAGTGTCAGTTCTTAGAAGTGCAAGTTTGCCAACTACTTTATGCCATTTTTTATTTAATTAAATCTCATGGCTTTCGCTTTCTTTTTATTTTAGCCGAATAGGTGAGGCACTTGAACAATCTTTACCAAATCTCAGGGAACTGATCCTTACGAACAATAACATAATGGAATTGGTGAGTGAAATGAAGGATGAAATAAGCTGAAGTAAGAAAATGCCATATACACAATCACCAGGATTTTCTAAGATCATTAATGTTCCTCTCCCTCCTCTTTTTGTTTCTTAACTCATAAAGTCTCTTTGTCTTTTGCATATCAAAAACTAGCTACTAACAAAATGTTGTTCTGGAACAGCTTCACTTCTGTTGCCCTCAGAGGGAATTCTACTTTGCTTTGGGAGACAACAGAACCAGACTGAACTGGCTCAATTCTGCTTGGACTTTGACAGGCCAATCCTCATGCCAATCCTTATTGAGTACTGAAGTATGGAAAGGCAGTTAAAAATAAGGGAGCCCATAAATGAAATACTTGGTATTCTAAATACTTGAATATATTTGAGGATTCAAAGACTTTATGAATTAATAGTCTTGCCTTACCAATGTGAAGCAGCAAAACTCAGACTGATATATTTAATGCTTCAGGCAGTAAATGTTAAGCATAAACATTCTTAATGAGTTTAAAATATGCAAGATTTTTATGTATAAGTTTGTTTGAAGATGTGTTTACACTGTGCAAAGTGTACTGCATGTTTTGGCACTAACTGCACTTGTGTTTTGCCATATTCAGGGAGATCTAGATCCTTTGGCAACCATCAAATCACTGACATACTTAAGGTATGAGATCTTTTTCCCCTATTCTTACACTCTTGTCTTTCAAATGTCTGTGCTATAGTTGAAAGTTGCTAACTTTAAGATGCCAGAGGATTTTCCTGAAACCTTGAGGTTGCAGTAGCCCATTGATGGAAGGCTCCTGTTGCCAGCAGAGTGGGAGTAGGGCAAAAGCAACTTCACTCCCATTACTATGTAAATAACTCAGGGTCCTTGAAGCCACCTTTGAGCTCCTGCCTTAGACCTCTGCTTGGCTCTTGCCTTTTTGCCACTGGGAACAGGGAGGGGAGAATGAACTGTGCTGAGCAGCTTTCCAACTTGAAGCTGTGCCTTTCGAGAAGGCGCTTACCTGGATCTGTCCTGTGGCAGCAATTTATTTATTTAAACCATTTATATGCCATCCCTTATACATGGCATCTTAGGATGGCTTACAATCATTAAAATCAAAATACAATAAAACAATCTATACCAATATAATAACATATAACCAGTAAAAAGAAATTAAATCAAAAGCGACTGTTAAAACATTAAAATACTATTTTTTAAAATAACAATTGAATAAAAAGGTTTTGACCTGGCGCCGTAAAGAATATAAGCTTAGTGCCAGGCGAACCTCTCCGGGGAGCGCATTCCACAATTCCAAAAATGTTGTCCCTTTGGAAGCAGCCACTAGGGCAAGTCCCTCAAATCACACATACATTGTGTCTATTGATTCGCTCAAAGCCCTTGGGGGTTATTTTCTTCCCTTCCTAGGGCTTTGGAGGGAAGACTTGGGGGAAATCATGGGGACTGCTATGTTCTGGTCAGATCACTGCCTCTTGAGTTTGACTTATGGTGATTTCACTGTCTGCATGGATGGGGGAACCTATTAAAAAGAACCTCCAAGGCTATTGGCTTGCACAGGGCTCTGGGGGCTTTCTGGCTGAAGTAGCTGGCAAATCTGTCAAATCCCTGGTTGATCTCTGGAATACCCCTTTGAAAGAGGTGGTCATCAGACCTCTCTTGAAGACAGAGAACCTGGACTCAGAACCTGTTTTTTGAACAGAAACTGCCTTGGTTGCCCTGTGGGATGACCTTTGCCAGGAGAAAGGTGGGGATTATGTCCCTGTTGGATCTACTGGACCTCAGCAGCTTTTGATACCTTTGACCATGGTATCCTTCCGGATAGGCTGTCCAGCTTGAGTCAGAGGCGCTGCCTGCAGTGGTTTATTTATTTTAAAAATTTCTATACGTCTTATTTTCATAGAAATTCTTGAGATGTTTTACAATTTTAAGAACATAGAAACAATTTACAGCACTTGATTAAAACAGGATTAAATACCGACAATTAAAATACTGATTAAATAAAAAAGTTTTGGTCTAGCTCCAAAAAGAATAAAGAGTCGGTGTCAAACAAACCTCTCTGGGGAGCATATTCCACAAATGAGGTGCCACCACGGAGAAGGCCCTGCTTGTAACGGGCCTCCTCGCTTCCTTCAAGGAAGATTCTCAGAGAAGGACCTCCATAGAAGATCTTAAGGACCAGTTTTGCTCCTACTTGACCAGCTAATTCCGAAAGATGGTGCTGGGGTGTTACTGCTCTGCACCATGGCAATTATGCCATGGAGTACTGCAGGGTTCCATTTAAGATTTACATGAAAGTCCTGGTAGAGGTCAACCAGAGGCTTAGGCTGAGGTGTCATCATTATGCTGATGACACCCAGTGCTTCCTCTCATTTTCATTCAATTCATTTGAGGCAGTGACAGTTCTGAATCAATGCCTGGTCAGTGTGATGGACTGGATGTGGGTCAATACATTGAGGCTTAATCCGGATTTGATTGAGGCAGGTCATCTGTCTTGGTGAGTGATATTTGCCCTGTTCTGGATGGGGTTGCGCTCCCCCTAAGGGTCAGGGTGCACAGTTTGGGAGTGCTCATAGACCCAGAGTTATCTCTGGAGGCCCAGGTGGCTGCTGTGGCAAGGAGCACTTTCCACCAGCTTCGGCAGGTCCATCAACTGCATCCTTACCTGGACAAGCAAAGCCTAGTAACAGTAATCCATACTCCTAATTGGTCTATTGTTACATACTCCACATGGGGCTACTCTCAAAAATCTCCAGATACTTCAATTGGTACAAAGCAGAGCCGCAAGATTGCTTACTGATGTGAACACACAATTTCAGTCTTGCATCATCTTTGATGCTTAGCAATTGAAGTCCATGCCCCATTTAAGGTATTACACATCTAAAGTCCATTAGGGCCTGGATATCTAAAGAAAGATCTCCTTCCATATATACCTGCCCAAACTTTGATATCTTCTGCTGAGGTCCTTCTCTGGGATCTCTCTCTGAAAGAGGGTAGAAAAGTGGCTACCCAGGAAAGGCCCTTTCTGTGGTAGTACCTTGGCTGTGGAACCTGCCAGAGATGTACGTCTGGTGCTGGGGCTTCATTCATTTTGGTACCAGGCCAAACCCTTTTTATTACCCAGCATTTTAACGGTTGGATTATTTTATATATAATAGAATTGTTTTTACTGTATATTTTTATATATTGAAATTTTGTTTTATTTTGTGCTGTTATAGTTTTGGTTCTTCGTAAGCCGTCTAGAGATCCAGTTTGGATACAAGATGGGGTAAAAATGTTTTAAATAAATAAATACAGAGATGACCCAGGCAGTTGACACAGTTGTTCCTGGACATCCTCTCTGTACTAGAGCTTGCACAGCTTCATGCTGCTACACCCAGACCAGGAAGCAGTAAAGCAATACAGAAAATGGCTTCCGTGCGGATGGGAAAAAAATTCCTACTGGATTCCTACTGGAGGCCCTGCTAAGTGCCTTTTGTTGGGTACATTTAGGGGCAGTGAAAGGAGCAAAGGAACATCTCAGAGCCTGTATTCAGTTTTCTTTTTGTTGCCCAGTGGAGCTTCTCAGGGCTGTCCAGGATCTATTATATGCTGACTCCAGGGACCTCTCTGAGGCCTGCCTTAATAAATTTTCAGGCACTTCCAGAATAAAGTATCTTGTATCCACAAGGATTTAGACTCCATTTTTGTAGAGTTTGTATTAGACAAGGTTTTCAGAGTAAAGCCTAGTTTAGTTTTCTTGGGTAAGGAACAATTGGTACAGCTGGAAGATGATGACAAGGTTCTTGGACAGGTTCATGCAATCAAATCTGTACTAGATCCTTGCCCCCTTGACCTATGCAAGCTAGCAGGGAGGGAGCAGCCAGCTGGGCCAGGGAGGTGATCAAATGTCTCTTTACAAGAGGGAGGGGTCTCATACCACTTAAAGAGGCAGTGATGAGGCCATTCCTGAAGAAACCCTCTCTGGGCCTGGAAAACCCTAATAACCTTAGGCTGGTGACAAACATTCCCTTCCTGAACAAGGCCAACCATCTCCAGATACTCTTGGATGAAACAGAGTGCCTGGATCCATTTCAGCTGGGGTTTTGGCTGGGCTTGGGCATCCTCCTTGACTCATCTTTGTCACTTGAGGCTCAGTGGTGTGGAGTGCTTTCTATCTCCTTAAACTGATGCCCCAGGTACACCTGTCTCTAAACAGGGATAAGCTGATTTCATTCATCTGCGCTCTGCTGATCTCAACTGTATTACTACAATGCACTTTGCATGGATCTGGTGGTTGTTCAGGAAAACAGAAGTGATGCATGCACAGGAGACATAAACCATAGATACTGACACATGTGCATCAGGGCATAATTAAGGAGAAAGCTGGGCTTGATGCTTGCCTTTGTCCTTGCCTCTGAAGAATATTACTACAGCATTAATAATCAGAACTTGGAAAACTGTGGGAAACACTAGTCAAAAGTGGAAGTGGAGCCAAAGATTCCCTTCCAACAGTGCCTGTATTTGAATTGAATAACATCCTTCTTCATTTTTTCCATTAGTATTTTGAGAAATCCTGTGACAAATAAGAAGCATTATAGGTTATATATAATCTATAAGATCCCACAAATCAGAGTGCTGGATTTCCAAAAAGTGAAATTAAAAGTAAGTCTCTTGTGAAGTATTTGTCCATTGTCAAGCTGAGCATTAAATACTATTTTTTCATTGTGTCTGATTGGAGCCTCTAATCTCTTGGTAACAGCAGTAAAACATAATAGATATGGATTAATGTAACCCTAGATGCATCCTGTGGGTACCTTGATCTCATGAGAATTTATGTATCTGTAGTCATAAAGCTAGAAGCTTTTCTTATTTGTATTCTACACTAGAGAGGTAATTCAGATGAAAAATAGAAATATCCTGCTTCATCTCTGGTCAGCATATCCCAAATGAAATCTGAAGCTATTTTGGGAAAAGACTGTGGGGCATTTTGCATATACATTCCTGTGTATTCAGTTGAATTAAAGTGGCATCTATGATCATTGCCAGAAATGGAGAGGCTCTGGCTGGCAGAGGAAAATTGTTCATGTCAATGGGGCACTTAAGTTAAATTTAAATTCTTAGAAAGGAAGTACTGTAGGTTTGGGAAGATCCTGGCATTTGTTTACTTGCTCATTACATTTATAAGCCACCTTTTTTCTTCTTGCAAAGAACTCAAGGTAGCATATATAGTCTTCTTCCTGTTCTCTGTTTTATCTTCACAACAACACTGTTAGGTAGGTTAGGGTAAGAATCAGTGAGTGGCCCAAAATCACTCCATGTGCATTAGGCCAGCTGAATCCCAATCCAACACTCAAATCACTATACTGCATTGGCTTTCTTGCCACCTGATGTAAGCAGTAAAATGGATCTTTCTAAAGAAGATTTATAAGTTTAGTAGGTCCAAATTGTAAAATTTCATCTTACATGTGTTTGGGTTGATAAGTAGTATTCACCATGCCACATTCTTATGTGGAAAAGCTATGTGCAGTGTGCTCATTCCTGTTGATGATGCATTAACTTTGTGTGTGTGGTATCGCTGTAGGAGCGTCAGGAGGCAGAGAAAATGTTCAAGGGCAAGCGGGGTGCACAGCTTGCAAAGGATATTGCCAGGAGAGCAAAAACGTAAGATACAGAGAACCACTTTAAACTGGAAGGTCCCCTTCAGAAACACCACTGCAAATGAAACTCCCTTGGGTGGAAGAAAAGACATGAACCAGCACCAAATTGCTTAGGTTTCGAAGAGCAAACCTTACTTTTGAATGCAGTACTTTTCTCCTGAACCCCATTTGTTCATCACGAACCCTAACAATTCAGCACACAAGCTGACAGCTTAGACCATATGCACAATTTGTCTTTTGCTTGGAAGTATGTAAAAGGGAGGGATGTGGGAAGGCCACCCTGCTGGTGTTTCTGAAGGAGCTATTCCTTCATTGTATCAGTTTGTTAACAAAGATAAGATACTACACTTGATTGAAATCGGTGCTTCCAGATAATTCTCCATGGAAGCTTGAGAAGCAGGTGGTGGGCTTCTATATTTAACAGTGCACTTTTTCTTCTTAAGCTTCAACCCAGGTGCTGGTTTGCCAACTGACAAAAAGAAGGCTGGCCCCTCCCCAGGGGATGTGGAAGCTATCAAGGTAATGTTTTCAGGCCTGTGTTAAAAGAGTCTATTTGGAAAAAACACTCTTTGGGCAAAAATAGCCAAAAACTAGCCACAGAAGCATTTGCTGTCATCATATTACAATTATTTTGTGTATGATTACACTTAGCATAAAATAGATTGGCTTGCTTTTCCATTAGTGACATATATTGTTTCACTTTTCTAGCAAATGGGAAATAACTTACATTCCTGTAACCACTTTGGTTTTTATTGCAAAAATGTAGATTTGTATTGGTCCAACCAACGAATCCTAAAGGCTGGAGGTTGGAATTGAAAGAGTAAAGCTATTATATATGTTTGAACATGTAACAAAAAATTAAAATATAACAGAAGCAAAACTCCACATTCCAGCTGGCATTTGATTAAGCTAGTGTTGATAACTTGTGGAGTTTTGTATAAGAACAGCCTTCCCTGATCTTGGGCCTTCCAGATACATTTGGACTGCAACACCCAGAATTCCAATTCAGTAGTCTTGCTAGGTGGGAATTCTGGGAGTCGCAGTCCAAATGCCGCTGAAGGCCACCAAGTTGGGACGGGCTGGTTTAGAATGAAGGCTATTTCAGTTAACTCTGCTATAAGTCAAGTCACTTACCATTGACATCCTGTTGATGTGAACTGACAGTAACTGAAATATGCATTGTGCATTCTCCTGTGTTGAACTCTGTGCTGGCAATGCTGCATGAATGACATTTGATCTTTCTCTTTAAGAATGCCATTGCTAATGCCACAACTCTGGCTGAAGTTGAGAGGCTCAAGGGCTTGTTACAGTCTGGTCAGATACCTGGTAGAGACCGTAAAACAGGTAAGGAACAGCTTCCGCAGTTTTGTTTGCATGATTGAGAAGTAGCAGCTAGTCACTGATTCCCCCATCCTACTGCTCAAAAACATATTTATCTTTAGGAGAGAGATTGAAGGCAGAGAGGAGTTAAGATATACAGACACCTTAAAACAGGCGAGCAGAAAGTAGATTTTCACATGTTTGGATTTCAACGCAAATATTACCGACTATTGGTTGAGGGCTTCCCTAGTCCAAAACACTGGGAGATTTGGCTTCTGCACACCTTTGCAAATGCTCAAAAGCAAGGAAATGTTTGAATCTTTCCTGGCCGTAATGATTTGTAAAAGGATCTTGTTTGCCTTGCTTGAGGCAACAGAAAGGTTAAGAATTTGCAGATTTTATGTAATGCAAATCAGAAAATTTGTTTTGAGGCATCGTAAATTCAGACTTCAGGATACAGTTATTCTTTATGTAAAATATGTAGTAGGTAGTATTACAATATTAATGAGCTGCTATCTGTTTCTTAGGCCCTTCAGATGAGACCGAAGAAGAAATGGAGGAAGATGCAATTGCCAATGGATCTTAAAATGCAACTTGTAGATAGAGTGCAGAATGTTATACCATTGTTTGTCAAAATCTTGTGATCTATTGCTGAAGAGAAGTCCTTTGTTTAGATTTTGTTCAGAAGCACTATTGTAGTTTGTAAATTTTATACTATACATTTTGAAATAAAACATTTTTTCCAAGTGCATTCTATTTTTATGTAAACAGTTTGCTTTAAATAAATGCAATTTTACTTTCTTTGCATTACCACCCAGTGTGTTTGCCAGTGTTACAATTGAGTAGCAATACTGACTAGGTCAGGAGTCCCAAGTTCTTCGTTGTGGCCTCTGTGCATCACACATATGGGTTCTGCGCCTGCGCAGTGCCTTTGGCCGGAAGATTACAAGCTAACGGTTTTTGGCGGGAAGCTCCGCTCCCCTCCCCCATGGCCTATAAAGAGCGGAGCGTCCGCCATTTGTTCAGTCTTTGCGACTGCCATTCGCTGTGCCTCGTGCCGCTTTCATCTTTCACTTGACCGTTTCCTCGTAGCTATTGTCTTCTTCTCATTCCCAGTTTTATATCCCTAAAACTCTTGTTACTTCTAGTTTCTTCTTCTATCGTTCTAGTGTTCCATCTCTCCTAAAAAAAACAAAACCAAAAATATATTCTTACCCTCTGCACTGTCTCCTTTTCTCGTTATTTCTGCGATGGCAGCAAGCGGCCTTCCGCAAGTGTGCGGAGTGCGGATCGAAAATGTCTCCATCCAACCCGCACGATCTATGCCTCCTCTGCTTGGGGGAGGGGCATAGAACTGACAGGTGCTCCCACTGTCTGGCCTTCTCCAAACAGGCCAGAAAAAACCGGGAGAACCGCCTCTGGAGACTCCTGTGGGATCGGGCTCTCATGCAGTCCGACCCATTGGTCACTGCTCCGAAGCCTTGCCCGGCTGCGGTGGTACCGCCCTCCCGTCCATCGGATGAAGGTGCCTCTGCTTTGAGGGCCCCACCAGCTTCTCCTAAGAAAAAAGGGAGAAGCGCAAGCATGCCGAGGCTGTAAAACCTGCCAAAAAGGCCAGGAAGGAGAAGCCTTCTAAGTCGACCCCGAAGGCTAAGGATCCGGATCGACCCCGACACTGTACCTCGGGTTCGACAGTAGTGTCGGTACCGGCGCCTCCTACCGTGCCGACACCACCCGAGCCGGCGATCGAGGCAGCCATGAGGGCCACCCCTCAAGGGTCTCCTCACCGTGTGACTAACCCCCTGGTTGAACCGCCGCCAGCTGTCCAACGGGGTTCGATCTCGGATGGAGAGATCCAGGACTCTCCCCCCAGGGCTAGGTCACCAACCCCTATGCCCTCAGCTACGCTGGAGGCGGATGTGGTTGACACCCTGCCTAGGACCCGCAGAAGCCATTCTAGGGAGCAGCGGTCCGAGAGGGTCGAGGACTGGCGTCGTCCCTACTATACACCTTGGGACGAGCCATACTCGACTGAATACTATCCCGCTCCAAGGGATCAACCACAATTCCACCTTCGTGACCGCCCGCCCCATCCGGATCCAAGGCGCTCATCCCCGGTACCACGGGATGATAGCAGCCGCTCCGTCTTGCCAGCAGAGTCTTCCTCTTCGGCTCCTCCTCATTACGGCATGGATTCCGACAACTCCGACTTGGATTCGACCTCTCCTGATGCCGCGGTTACCTTCCAGGGCCCCGCATCACCGGACGAGTCACATGTGTCCTTTGCGGAGCTGATGGGCAAGCTCGTCCAATCTTTGGACATCGACACCGTCCAACGGCCAGGGCCGTCTACGGACAAAATATACGACGTCGTCCACGGGGAGCAGTCCACCTCCATCGTCCTGCCACTGATTACCACCTTGCGGCAGGCGATGACCCAACCCTGAGACTTGCCATCCCATCCTCAACCTACATCCCGGAGGTACGAAGCCATGTACCGGGTTCGGGAGGAGGACATTCCATTCCTCCTCTGACACCCCAAGCCAAACTCGGTTGTGGTGGAGTCCTCCCAGGGAAGAGAGGCAAGGGGTCATACCGTGCCGAGAGACAAGGAGGGCCGCAAGATAGATTCACTGGCCAGGAGGGTTTACACAGCCTCAGGCTTGGGATTGCGTATCTAATTACGAGGCGACGTTGGCGAGATACCAGTATTTCATAATGCAGCGTCTCAACAACGTCGTCTCGGCCCTCCCGGATCAACAGGGCGAATTGGCCAAGGTCCTCATCAAAGAGGCGATGCACGTGGCGGTGCAACAATTGTCCACAGCCAGGCACCATGTGGACACCAATTCGAGGGCACTGGTTGGTGCTGTCTCTCTTCGGAGACATGCGTGGCTACGGAGCGCCAATTTCCCTGAAGAGACCAAATGGCGCATCGAAGGAATGCCCTTCGATGGGTCCAGGCTATTCCACGCTAAGACAGACCACAAGCTCAAGAAACTCCATGAGTCTCGGATGACGGCCCGACGAATGGAACTTCAGTCGCTGCCCAAACGTAAGTGGCCATGGAACCGTCCGCCCTACAGGCAGCAGTATCACCCCAGTCAACAGCCTCAACATAGGCAACAACAACGCCGCCGTCAGCAACCTCAACAAAAATACCAGCAGGGCAGTCGCTGATTCGACGATTGGAGGCAGCGCTGACGGGATTGGCGAACCACTCCTCATACTCCTCAAATACCCACCCCTCTCTCATCTGGGGATCGGCTCCGGAGCCGACTTCCCATTTGGGAGTCCATCACATCTGACCGGTGGGTATTATCCATTGTTCAACACAGCTATCGAATAGAATTCTACATCGTTCCTCCATCGAGTCCGATCCAGTCTACTTCATGTTCGCCAGTACTTCTCAACGAAATACACCAACTTCTCCGAAAAGGAGCAATTCACCAAGTATTCCCATCTGACGGACTCCATGGATTCTATTCCAGATACTTTACGGTCCCCAAGCGGGACGGTGGTCTACGTCCGATTTTGGATTTACGGGACTTGAATAAGTTTATTATACCGAGAAAGTTTCATATGACCACCCTTCAAAACATTTTGCCGTTGTTAAGGAGAGGGGATTGGTTCGCCTCACTGGACCTGAAGGACACCTACTTTCATATTTCAATTCATCCAACTTACAGGCGTTTCCTTCGTTTTGCTGTTGCAAACCAACTTTATGAGTTCAAAGTTTTACCCTTTGGACTGGCTACGGCTCCGAGAGTTTTTACCAAATGCGTGGCTCCTGTCTGTGCCTTCCTACGCCTTCAGGGCATACAAATTTACCCGTACCTCGATGACTGGCTGTTGGTCTTGCAGTCCAGAGAAGGACTCTTGGATGCCATCCATTCAACATGTACCTTACTAGATAGTCTGGGCCTGCGTATTAATAGAAAGAAATCTTCTCTTCTGCCGACACAGACGCTCACCTTCATTGGAGCCCACTTGGATTCGACGTTGGAGAAAGCCTTTCTTCCTTGGGACAGACAGCAGACCCTCGCTCACCATATCCATTGAATCCGTCGACAGGGAACGGTTACGGCGAGATCCATCCAGTGGGTCCTGGGGTATATGGCCCCCTCGGTTGCCGTAGTTCCACACGCCAGACTTCGGCTTCGCCCATTACAACTATTGTTCAACAAGGTGTATCATCCTCAAAGGGACCCACAATCGAAACTGATTCGGATCCTGTCTTCCGTGCTCCACTCCCTGTCCTGGTGGCTGAAGCCGACCAATCTAGTGATGGGAGTCCCCTTCAGGGCGCGACCTCCTACGATAACTCTCGGTACCGACGCGTCTCTTCTAGGATGGGGAGCGATATGCTCTGGCCTGTCTACCCAGGGAACGTGGACTCATCTAGAATCCATGAATCATATCAACTTCCTGGAGCTACTGGCAGTCTTCAAGGCCCTTCGTTCTTTTGAAGACCTCCTTCATCATCAGATCGTTCAGATAACTTCGGACAATATAGCGTGTGGGAATTCATCGCTGCATCGCAGCGTCGCGCTGAGTTACGCATGCCGCGGCAGCCAATAGCATCGCTAGGTTACGCTGTAGTTACGCCCGCCATACCAGCCAATAGTATTGCAACTTACCCAGCCAATAGTATTGTACTTCCCTGTGTAACCATATAAGGCTTGTGCCCATATAGCAATAAGTAAGCTTCCTGTATCCTGCGCCTGCGCAAAAAGCACTAGGGAGTTGGCTGCTTTACTCGACGGTAATTGGCTATAGGCAAATACAAATGTAACAATCTAGGAAGTAATAAATGGAGGTGCTGGTGGTGACGGGGGGGCAGATTGAATTGAATTCCTTTGTTCCCCCGAGAACACAACCGAGCATGCTTTGAAACTTATCTCTTGACTGCAGTCTTTCTTTCTCTAAACTTTCTCGCGCCGATTGCCGGAGCAGGCTCCGACAATAGCGACCGTTTTTTATCTGAACAAACAGGGAGGGATGAAGTCACCGACCTTAGCCAGGCTTTCTATGAGAATTTGGGACTGGTGCATTCAGAGACACATCACTCTGATGGCCGTTCATCTGGCTGGCACAGACAATGCGCACGCAGATCTTCTCAGCAGGCACATCTTCACTTCTCACGAGTGGGAACTGGACCCTCGCATGCGCAACCACCTGTTCAGGCGCTGGGGGTTCCCTGATGTGGACTTATTCGCTACCCAACAGAACAGGGTATGTGAGACTTACTGTTCCAGAGCAGGAATTGGACAAGCATCCCTAGGGGACGCATTCATGATCCCTTGGTGCAACATCAACTTCTATGCTTTTCCTCCAATCCCTCTTTTGATGAAGGTCGTAGCAAAGATAGTGAGCGACCGTGCATCGGGGATACTAGTTGCCCCTTGGTGGCTACGCCAAGCGTGGTTTGCGAAACTGCTCGACATCTCCCACGGGGAGTTTCTTCATCTTCCAGCGCTTCCATACCTTATAACGCAAATGGACGGCACACTTCGTCACCCGGACTTGCTCTCATTGAACCTGACAGTGTGGCGGATTCGATGATTGACCTTCCATTGGGGCCAATGACGGATTCGAGAGCCTCGAATCTGGCAGCTTCTATTAATCCATCGGTATCGACGATTACTTTGACTGCGTCGGTTCCAATTCTCGAATCCAACCATGTGGGTGCCTCTCACTGCCACAGTCTCTCCGTACCATCCGGTTCGAGACAGACCCTGTCAAATTCAA